ATTTTTCGCGCTATAAATGGAAAGCACTTATTTAATTTTCGAAAACTCATATTAATTTTTTCGAAAATACTTTAACTTTAAAACGCGGGATGCTACCCAACTTTAATCTTAAATCTTTATCTCTTTAATATATCATGCAGGCGACCAAGTAAATTCATTCTAGAATTAAGGCCATGAATAATACCGGATAAAACATGCATATTCTGAAAATCTGACATAATCTGACATCTGAAATAATAGTCTGAAATCTGACATCGGAAATACAAGTCTAACATGCGGAAGTAAGTACAAGTTCGCAAAAGCACACAAGCATAAAACGAACATAGATAATTCAAACATGTTCAAATACTATATGACATGTTTTCACAAAAATTTCCTGAAACTGGACCATCACCACATAACTGCTCACGCTCCACGCGGGACTCCATCACCTGAAAAATAGGGTAGTGGGGAGGCGTGAGCACAAAGGAATCAACGGTGCTCCGCCGGGAACCGACACTGAATACTCAGCACAATTAATAACAAACTATGAAATCAACATATATATGAATAAACTGGTCTGACTATGGGACTAACGGTAAACCGGTACTCATGTGCACACTCTGGGGGGTCCCCTCCCACAGAAATCCAGGAAAGGCACTAATCACCCCATCTGGACGCTAGACTTAGGTTGGGCATCGCCCTCTCAACCAAGTCACAACTGACATCTGACATTTTGACCAAGACGGGATCACTCATCTGTCTCGGTCCTTCAATTTAATCACATATAGATCAGACATGGTAAATTATTAAAAGCGATGAAATACATAGTACATGGTCCCCACCTGGAAAATGGCGAATGCGGATGCTGAAATATCTTAAATATGCTGTGTAGCAGGCGGAGGCTCGACTCTCCTCAAGCTACAAATTATGAGCGAAATATTCTAAGTATTAGGCTCAGAATAAAACTCAAATCTTTAATATCCATTGTCTAGGTTCGCTCACTTTGCTTTTAAAAAATCATTTTAGAGATTTACGAGCTGATTTTGAAAATATTATTGTCTTTGAGGCATTCTAGAGTTCTCTGAAATTTTTTCAAGCCTGGAACTAAAATCTGACTTGATCTAATCTGATTGAAATCTAAACTATATCTGGATTTTTAATCTATCTGGAATCTTAACTATATCTGAAATCTTAAATATATCTGAAATCTTAAATATATCTGAAATCTTAATCTGACTAAATCTGAAATATATCTCGAACCGTCCAGATTGACCGAACCGGTTCAACTAAACTGGACCGACATCTCACTCGGAGCTGGTCGGTCATTCGCTTGACTATGTGCAGCTCGGTTTGACCGTGGTCCGAGTTCGGCGTGGCAACT